ATATCGTTTAGAAATTCTTCTGAATTGAATGTACGCATTGTTCGTATGTACTTATATCTCGGTTCAAATGTACTCAGCCTAGCATTTACGATTAAATACGGCATGTCATGATCGCTCACTTCTGGAGTAGGAAGTACGTCCGAGGTTATAATATTTTGTGGAATATTTGTAATGATATGGTCGATTAACCATTTACCTTTTCGAGTAGCACTTTTAATATGTTGGGTAAGATTAAATGACTGTAAAACTGATTGATATTTCGTTGCTATGGTTGAAGGATTTTCCAAGTCAATGTTAATGTCGCCAGCAATGACAACAATACCATCCCATTTTGAGTGAATTGCAGTTAGGACAGATTCAAATTTTTCAACCCAAATAGTTTTTTTCGTCAGCTCAGAATCTGGTTGATATAATACGCCAAGTAATATACTACAGTTTTTATTTTTCCCGCGAATCTCGATCCAGATATGCTCTATATCTGGTTCAATATTTTGGATATCTGTCCTTTCCGTATACTTAAACTCGTCTTTAAGATATATAGCAACACCGCCCCCTCGTTTATTACCACCACGATTTTTGAATACTAGCGAATACCCAGGCAGCTGAACATAGTCAATTTGGTGTTTATTATCACGAAGCCAAGTCTCAGATAGAGTTAAGATGTCAAAGGTATAATTTGATACAACATAGGCAAACTCATCAAATGTGGATATGAGAGACTGACAATTTAGATGGCATAGCCGTAAATGATTTGAATTTCGTTCGAGTACTTCTATATGGCAATCTGTATGATTTTCGTCTAATGATTCTGGCAGACTAATACCCGTGTCATCAAGATTTCGTACTTTATGGAACGGTAATTCATTCCATAAACAATTTTGACAAGTCCAAAAGTTCTCAAGCTGAGTGTAGTGGCTTAATGAGAGTGACGTGCAACGTAGATGAGTTAATTCCAGACAATAAGTGCAAATCAGTCTCTTGTTGTTTACTTTGACCGCTCTGCTACATTCTATACATTTGGGAACGCAAATTCGTTTACTGCGATTTGTCTTGCTTTTTTTACCGTCTCCTGCTATATTTTGGGTAGGACCTGGGTTAATCTCTATGTCTCCGGCTGAAATTAGTATATTGAATGCCGCTACAGCATTTGGATAATATTGCACAAGGTTCCTCGTGTATTTTCGACCATGGTTTCGAACAATTTTGTACGGTATATATTTCACAGCTGAATAACTACGCCCCTTGCTTGTTAAACCTGAGAAACTCACCAATAAATAAACTGTCCATTCGCAGTTTCTATTCATATCTGTTGTCTCATTTCCATTCCATATTAGATATTTCATAGCTTCGCTACTGGTATTTGGATAAGCTACACCGTCAACATTAATCTTCGGCATGCAGTTCTTCATCAAATAGATTATATCTTGATTTAATACACCGTCTACACCAACTTTACACAAGGAGTTCACACAGTCATTGTAATTTGTTGGCAAACAGATACCTTGCCACACATTTGCCCCAATAAAGTAAACCATTAGCAAAATACACGGAGCTAGACAAACACGTCTAACCGCCATCTTGGCTTTAGCAATCTCGCGTTGCATGTGTTGTAAATTGGTAAGCTATTGTAACCAAACATGTCAGAGGGCTCATTGGCCTCAACATAAAACATTGTGTAATGCCATCCGTAAAGAATCTAAACATAGAAATGAAACTTCACAAGATAGCCGCTCAGAAGCATTTATGAGCCATCTCACGCCTAAAGAACATGATAAACTAATCAATTTGGTGGGCAGGAGATGTACAATAAAGGGAAAACTAAATGAGAAAACCGTAGAAGTCTTATGGGACACTGGAGCCCAAGTATCTATTGTTTCAGCCAAGTTTGTAAAAGATAATTTTCCGAATTCCATTGTTAAAAATGTGAGCGAACTGTTAAATTGTGACCTTAAACTGACAGCAGCTAATGGGATCAGTATCCCTTATGAAGGGTGGGTGGAGCTAGAATTTCAAATCGGAGAGTCCGAAAACGGAGTTTCTGTTCCATTCCTGGTAGCGAAAGAAAACCTAGAACTGCCTCTGGTTGGTTTTAATGTTGTAGAGCATTTAAAAAAAACTGATAAACTGAAGTGTGGTACTATTTTGTCTAACTTCGATGGCTTGGATTTGTCTTGCGCCTCTGCCCAGGTCGAACTAATAAACAGCGTTACTCATGCGGAATTGTGTCTTGTAAAGACTCGTAAGAGAGACGTAATTATTCCCCCAGGACAATTCATTAAAGTTGGTTGTCGGGTGAACACGGGCCCTCTTAGCAAACCCACCCCTGTGCTGTTTGAAGCTGACGAGAATGACGAGTGGCCATGCGGTCTGAACGTGTCAGATACTCTTTTGATTGCTAAAGGGGGCAAATCGAACAAAGTCGAGATAGAAGTAGGAAACACGACCAAGCATAATATTAGATTAAAAGGGCGCACGATTCTTGGTCGTCTTCAGCTAGTTCAGTCCGTTGTCCCAGCAGAAGTAGAGTTGAAAAATGATCTGAAAAGTCGAACACCTCGTCAGGGAAATAGACGATGTAATACCACAGTGGACCCAGTCGCAGCAAACCTCGATCTGCCTGCTCATTTAAAAGATATCGATCTAGGAGACCTAACAAGCGAGCAGAGAAAACTTGCGTCCCAACTCCTTGTCGAACAAGCGGATGCATTCTCTCAGAATGATGACGACATAGGATCCATCCCAAATCTTGAAATGAACATTCAGCTAAGTGACACCACACCCGTACAAAAGAACTAAGTTGCCGTTCCTCGACCTCTTTATCCGGAAGTGAAGGCGTACATCGAAGATCTACTGAATCGCAATTTCATCCGAAAATCGAAGTCGTCATACAGCTCTCCCGTTGTGTGTGTGAGGAAAAAAGACCAAAGTCTACGGCTCTGTGTTGACTATCGGGAATTAAACAGAAAGACTTGTGTGGATCGCCACCCTATACCTAGAATTCAGGAGACTCTGGATAATCTTGGAGGAAATTCCTGGTTTTCCGTACTAGATCAAGGCAAAGCGTACCATCAAGGATTTCTGAAACCCGAGAGTCAGCCCCTCTCAGCATTCATTACACCTTGGGGATTATACGAGTGGATACGAATCCCGTTTGGCCTTTCCAACGCCCCAGCTTCTTTCCAACGTTTTATGGAGACATGCTTAGGTGACCTTCGCGACGAGATCTGCATTCCATACCTGGACGACATCATCGTTTTCAGCTCCAGTTTTGATGATCACATTGACCACCTGCGGAAGGTCTTCCAACGACTTAAAGTACATGGCGTCAAGCTGAAACCGAAGAAATGCACGATGTTTAAGCGGGAAGTTGTGTTTTTGGGACGCGTTGTATCGAAAGAAGGATACAAATTAGATCCATCGACTGTCGCTCCAATACTGCGCTTGACAGACAAACCACCTCAGACAGTGAATGAAGTTCGTAAGTTGATGGGATTCTGAATTATTATCGTCGTTATATTGCAAACTTTTCGCGAATTGCCAAGCCGATTTACGATCTTGTGAAGACGTCAGAGAACGATTCGCCGAAGGTAAAAACAAAGAACAAGCGCAGTGGTAACTCAGGTAACCAACCCATTTCCTGGACGTCAACACACCAAACTATCCTTGTAGAGCTTATTGGATGTCTCGTGAGTGCACCAGTGATGGCCCACCCAGATCCTCATAAAGCTTACGTACTACATACCGATGCATCCGAAAGTGGACTTGGAGCAGTACTTTACCAAGAACAGGACGGCATTCTACGTGTGATTGCTTATGGCTCAAGAACATTGACACCAGCAGAGAAAAATTATCATCTTCATTCTGGCAAGCTGGAATTCTTGGCACTAAAATGGGCTATTTGTGAACAGTTCCGAGACTACTTGTACTACTCTCCAAGCTTTGTCGTCTATACAGATAATAACCCGTTGACGTACGTCCTTTCTTCAGCTAAACTCAACGCAACTGGTCTTCGTTGGATAGGAGAATTAGCCGACTTTAACTTTACCATCCGTTATCGTCCCGGAAAAAACACCGATGCAGATACTCTTTCCCGACCACCAGAACACATGAATCAGTACATGGTATCGTGCACCGAGGAGACGTGCCAAGATGAATTACGGGCGCTGATCCAGTCGGTACGGTTGCAAGACAATGCGCAAATAAACTGGGTATCATCACTTACAACTGACTCCACGAAGATGATCTTAAGCCAATTCCTGGCCTCGGATGCAAAGAGACGTCGAGTATTACGTCCGAAATGTCTGCCGTTGTGTAAAGCAGAAACCACCACGACTCAAAATGAGAGCCCCTCTTCAACCCATCATCACAACCTCACCATTTGAATTAGTGTTCTCGACTTTATCCACCTTGAAAAATCGAGCGGCGGGTATGAGTATATCCTGGTTATTGTTGACCATTTTACAAGGTATGCCCAAGCTTACCCAACTCGAAATAAGTCAGCAAAGACTGTCGCCGAGAAACTATACAACGATTACATACTTCGTTTTGGCTTCCCATCAAAGATTCACCGTGATCAAGGCGGAGAATTCGAGAACCATCTGATGAGAAGGCTGGAAATCTGTGTGGTGTTCAACACTGCCGTACAACCCCATACCACCCTCAAGGAAACGGACAGGTCGAACGGTTCAACAGAACACTGCTGGATATGCTTCGTACTCTACCGGAGACTGAAAAATCACGCTGGAAAGATCACGTCGGTAAAGTCGTGCATGCATATAATAGCACCCGCAACGATACGACCGGGTTTTCTCCCTTTTTCTTACTTTTGGACGACACCCTTGCCTCCCAATTGATCTAGGTTTCCAAACTCAAAAACCATCTACAAAACACGACTACCCACAATACGCTAAGGAATGGAAAAAATCGATGGAAGAAGCGTACCAACTGGCTGGAAGGAAAATAAGAGAAAAGAGTGATCGAGCAAAGACAGGCTACGATAAATGGGTTCGGAGCTCGGTTCTGGAACCAGGAGATCGCTGTTGGTACGAAATCTTAGCGAACGCGGTGGACCGGGTAAACTAAGACCATTTTGGGAGAACAACATCCACATTGTGGTCAAGCGGCGTGGTTCCAATAGTCCCGTCTACGAAGTTGAGTCAGAGAAAAGAGATGGAAAGAAGGGAGTTTTACATCGCAATCTGATTCTCCCTTGTGACTATTTGCCTGCAGACAACCACAAGGACGCTCCACGACGACCCACAGCCCCTCGACAACCACGACAACCACCACCCAGGATCACACCCGATGATGATGATGAAACGTCCAGCGACGAAGAGTACCCCGATGTGGCGACTAGTTCCGCTCCAACCGAAACTTGTTCAACCCCTCTTCCCAAAAAGATAACTCCACCGGATCAAGGTCAATTACCTCCGAATGAAATTGTCCTAAACGAACTAACCCAAGAAGACCCACCACCTGAGGCTCCTGTTGGTGAACCCCCAAACCCCGAAGAGAACCCTGCTCCTGACGAGAACCCTATCCCTGCTGAAGCAGTTCCCTTACCTGAAAACTTAAGACCTCAACGCACACGACAGCCACCGGAACGACTAACGTATTACAATCCTGGCGAACCTCTTGGGGTGTTTTCGATTGCAGCACCATCTCCCCAGCATCCCTTCCCCCTTAACCAACTCAACCCCAACATCAGACCTCCTGTTTATCATCACCCGCAGCATGTTCCTTTCCACTACCCTCAACTTTTTCCAGGATCCCCTTTCCTACCGCTACAAACATCCGCTTTCCTTAACCCAATTCCACCATTCCCTGAGCATACACCACCAATGATGATGATGCCACAACCAATCTACTAACATTTTATCATTTTATACTTAACTTTAGTTTCTTTCTTAAGTAATGGAAAAAAAAAGCTCCATAACTATTATATCAAATATAGTAAATTAAGGACTGTAGTACCTTACCAAACTATCGAACATAAAGTGAACTGTTTATGCCAGCGAGAGTTATAGCTGCAGCAACTAGTGAGCTGGGTAAACGCGCAAGTAAGAAGAGGATCCGCAACAGAGTATAAGTTTAACTATGACGATGTTAGCTAAGATAGTTTTATGGAGAGAACTCCATTATAAAGTACCACATGGTACCATCTTTTCCCGCACTTAGTGTCATGGGACGACACTCACTCTGGAGGGGGAATATGTTAGTCAGTGTCCATAATAATGTCTTTTATGGTTATAAGTTAAATCTATGACGTCATTACTATAGAACATACCCAATAGGAAGAAATGTAGTAATTGTTAATAATAGTTAATCAGTAATTAAATAGTGGATGAGATATATAGAGCATGCTAGAGGATAGATGAATTGACACAGGTCGTTGAAGGAGCAACATCTAGATACGAAGTCAGATTTATTAGAGTTAAAGTTTTGATAACTAGAATTAAATAAAGTTTTGGAGCATAAAGTAAACGTTGTGAATCACTTTTGGCGATACGAAAACTGGCAAAGTAACCTGCATATGGTACGAGGTAGCATTTGACGAGGTAACACTTAAAGGGAGAACATCCGCGCATTTCCACAGATCAGGTACACGACCTTCTCTAATGGAAGAGTTAAACATGGAGCATACGGGGTAGCTAATATTTGCGGCACATGTTTTCAGGATCCAATTGGGGATCTCATCAGGTCCTACAGACTTACGATCGTTAACACCTGCCAATGCAAGTTCAACAGCATCACGCGTAATGACGTATCTATCAGAAACATTGGAAACGGGTACTGGAGTAAAATTTAAATGCGGTCTATCAGCAGCAGTACTGCAGAAGGATTCATTAATGACGGTGGCAAGTTCAAAGTCTCTCAAGACGGTGCCGTTTATGGCTAGACTATTGAACGGAGGGGGGTTGGACATTCCTGACAACTGCTTTTTACCCCACCACTTTTTAGGATTGCTCTAGTTCATGTGATTGATTTTGTCGTTATAGAATCTACGACGTGCACTTTTACAGAGTTTTATCACTTTATTGCGATAAACATGAAATTTGGGAAGGTCATTATTCAACCAAGCTTGTTGAAGTTTCTTAATGGATTCTTTAATAGCGGGAGTAATCCATGGTTTATCGTTGGGATGGAGTTTAACAGTATGCATGGGAATACATGAATTCAAAGCACCATGAACCACAGACTGGAACAAATCCAGTTGATCGTCACATGAATTTCGCCTCATGAGCGGTGTCCAATTGACCGAGTCAATAGATTTGGACTAAGACATCGGTGGCTTTCACTTGCATTAGGGAGATGACCGGCAGTTGGATCTTTTAGTTGGATCTTTCTGACTAGATGTCGATCAGTTATAGAGGGGTGCTTTGAGTCTTGAATTCTAGGTATAGAGCCGCAACGCCTAGGTCTTGCAGGGAAAGGCATCTTGCGCAATTCGCTTTCACAATCGTGTTTTTGGAGGAATGTTTTGTGTTGTTTGGCGCGGTAATGATAAACCTGTTGTCTTAGTGAATCATTTGCATTTAGTTGATTTGCATCAAGTTGATCGAAATTTGGACTAAGACAATGGTGGCTTTTATTTCCATTAGGGAGATGACCTGCAGTTGGATCATTTTGTTCGACATCAGTAACAATGATGACTGAATCATTAGCAGCTGTTAAGCCCATCGTTATACCGTTATGGTTTTGATATTCAAGCACCGATTTGTGACCCAGACCATTGGGTAGTTTACTTTTGCCATTAACTGAGGCTAATCCGACAGGACTTAAATCTGTATTGTTCTCTATGTTCGCTGTTCCCTTTAGATATGATTTAATTAACAAAATCTCATCTTTGAGACGGTTTACCTCGTGCTCTAAAGCACTGTTCTTTGCCTTTTCTCCCTCAAGATCAATATGTAGGCAAGCTACTTCTTTAGACAGTTTAGATACTATGATTGATGGGGGATCACGGGAATCGTTTAGGGCCTGCATTGAGTCGACCTTGCTATTCAGAATTTCAATCTCCAACATTATATTTTCCAAATACTCACAGTTGTTATCATGATGGTCAATACTTTTGAAGGCATTTACCGGCATATCTTTAGGTGGCGTCAATAGGTCGATCAAACAGGCTTTTGCTGTTTCTCCAACTGTTCCTTTGATTTAAGTTAAGGTATTTAACTTTCCGGGATACCATGTCATAGATAGATCTGTGCTATGGGCATCAAAACACTTTGAAACGCCTCCTGAAACGCCTTGAAACGCATCGCCGAGAAACAACAAGCACTCGAGAACCGCCTGAACCGTACAGAGACCTCTGCGAATCCTTCCCCTCGGCCTTCGTCCACTGGTACCTGCTATTCATGTGGCTTACCAGGACATTTCGCTCGAGATTGTACGCAAAGGCGACCGTTCAGTGCGCGTCGAACGATGACTGGCTACAATTGTGGGAAACCTGGTCACATCGCACGAGAATGCCGCTCATCGCGTCATTTAAACTACTAAGGGATGGACGGAAAGTCGTTGGAAATCGCGCCCATCCTGTGGTAAGTAGAAATATTATTGATAATTGTACAGTTATCCACCCATTTGTTGACTGTTTTGTGGACCAAGTTCGTGTTAGTGCTCTCATTGACTCAGGATCAATGAAATCATTTCTTAGTAAGGCGGTTCAGAGAACAATTGACTTTGATGAGCAAAAATTGAACAAAAACAAGAAGGAGAAATGTGTCTCCATTACCGGACACCCTATAAATATTCAAGGACATTTATCTAGTACTGTCAAATTCTTAGGATCCCGTGCATGTTTTAACGGCAAATTTTTAGTTAGTAATAATACACCATATATACACTGTTATTTTCAGGGAGTTATTTTAACTCTCCCATTATCCTTTTTTAGTTGAGTTAAAAATTTAACTATAGTTTTGGAGTAAAAATAACTCTCTTTGAGGGGTTAATAATTTTTAGACCTTATTAACTATGCAGAATTAACTCCTTTTGGGGGAGTTAAGCAATCTAACCCTCTTTTATGAGTTATTTTGACTCACCTATTACCCTTTTTTGGGGGTGATAAAAATTCAACTCTCTTTTTGGAGTTAAATAAAATTCAAAATGGCGTGCACAAGAGGAGCGGGTTAATAGTTTATTATAAATTTTAGTCTTATAAACGTGAATTGATTTAACTCTGGAGTGAAAAAGGCGGAAAAGGCTTGTAAAAATTACGAATGTTTGTGCCACTAATATAATTTGACTTCTAAACCCTATATTTTAACTTATATCGCTTTCTTCATCCCGATGTATAAAGTTTCTTCCTACGGCATTTAACTTTTAAGTTCAAGTTTATAAGGCTGTTCTGTTCATCTGTATATCAAAGCCATTCCCCCCATAAAATAGGGAAAAATGGCAGGGCTGACGATGATCTATTGATTATATATGTTATTTCTGGCTGTGAGGTCGTTATTTCCGTTTTCGAGACCGTCGGCACAGTTTTTTGTATCCGGGCCGAAGCTGCCGGTAAAATATAATGTGTTTATTTTTTAACCTTTGCCGTAGGCCGAGGGAAGTTTTCGAGACCGAGAGCACAGATTTTTGCCTCCGGGCTGAAGCTGCGGTATATAACGTGTTTATTTTTTACCTTTACATTATTGACTTCATGAAACACAAAAAAAGCAAAAAAATTAGCAAATAACTATATAAAAACTATAATTTCTGCAATCTACAAGGCTACAAGCCATTTCAGAATTTTAATACGTCAACAACTCCTTAAAAGGATATCCTAGTCGGGAAACAGCCAATGAAATGGCAGATATTGTTACCATAGCAATTAAATCACGGCAAATTCGGGCAAATCGACTAGAAAAACAACGTAAAATGCAGCGAAAAAAGGAGTAAAAAATCCAAACTAAGACGTTTTTCGGGTATGTTTTTTATTTCTAACATACTTTTAGCCTTTTCCGGAAAGGTTTTTACACATTTTAGCCTTACGTTGCTTTGGTTTGGCCGTTTTATTCACATTTCACACCGGGCCGGATGCATTTCAAGCGGGCCGGATGCAAAAATCAATATTAAATAGGTCATTTTATCACTTTAAAATTTACAGTAATCAAAGTCTTTCAGAAGTAATTCATAATTTAGGGTATAGGAAGAGTATTATTGAGGTTAAAAGCAACAACTGATGTTGGAATTATTTAAAAGTGGGCTATGAAAAGGTGATCCTTTGATTCCTTTCAGTTTCAGACAATTAATATAGCAATTCAGAGCTTTTGTATTGATCTGTCTTTTCAAATATACAACTCACAATATTATACAAATGCATGTGAATTGATAATAAGAAATTTTGTGAGATAAATTTACCAATATGACACTACGAGAACCTTTGGCTTTAATGTTTTTAGTTTAATAATCCAATATACAAACACAATTTGCATCAGAACTCTGAAAGTAGAAATAATATAACTCCGATAGTGGAGTTACCACTGCTTAACTCCTTTTTAAGAGTTACATTTTAACCCCTAAATGATAGTTATTCTGACTGCAAAAACGGAGTTAATATTTTACTCCAAATCTGGAGTTACTTTTAACTCCAAAAAGTGAGTTGTTCTGTACCTTTTTCCGTAACTCCTATTTTAGGAGTTAAAATAACTCCCTCAAAATAACAGTGTATGACTGTGTTCTTGGCTGGGATTTTATCAGCCAAAATAATATATCTATATGTAAAGACGTTAACCTAGGTAATTATATGTTAGTGGGCAAACATGGGGTTACCCCCATAACCCCTTCGCAATCGTCTACGAAGGCAGATCGAGCAGGAGTCACTGAGTCGAGTCCACCACATGTGCAGGCGGATTCGAACGTCGGACGTTTGTTGTGTCAATCC